GACTTGAGATATACAGAGCATATAGACACGAATATATCATGCTAACACGGCTTGAGATATACAGAGCATATATAGACACGAATATATCATGCCAACACGGCTTGAGATATACAGATCATATAGACACGAATACAGCATGCTAACACGACTTGAGATATACAGAGCATATAGACACGAATATATCATGCTAACACGGCTTGAGATATACAGAGCATATAGACACGAATACAGCATGCTAACACGGCTTGAGATATACAGAGCATATAGACACGAATAGAGCATGCTAACACGACTTGAGATATACAGAGCATATAGATACGAATACAGCGTGCTAACACGGCTTGAGATATACAGAGCATATAGACATGAATATATCATGCCAACACGGCTTGAGATATACAGAGCATATAGACACGAATACAGCGTGCTAACACGGCTTGAGATATACAGAGCATATAGACACGAATATATCATGCTAACACGACTTGAGATATACAGAGCATATAGACACGAATATATCATGCTAACACTGCTTGAGATATATAGATCATATAGACACGAATACAGCATGCTAACACGACTTGAGATATACAGAGCATATAGATACGAATATATCATGCTAACACGACTTGAGATATACAGAGCATATAGATACGAATACAGCGTGCTAACACGGCTTGAGATATACAGAGCATATAGACACGAATATATCATGCCAACACGGCTTGAGATATACAGAGCATATATATATATGATAATATATGTGTTTTCAATATATTTAATCCTATATATAATCCTATGATACACACCTACACACGTCAGGACCTCTTGCATGACGTAGATTCTTTGTAGTTCAAGCGATCGCTCGTCTCGCCGAAAGCCTGGGTTCGATTCTCCATATGGGTGTAAAGCCAGACATGATTCTACTTGGATATTGCTAAAAGCGAACTAAAACACAACTCACTCACTCACATGCGTCATAAATAAATACATTAATCAGCATATCGATTATCTATTCTCAGTCTATATTAATTTTAAAAGTTAATTCGAGTTTTCAGTCAAGGCAGTTTTACGCAAACAACCTACATAACGGTATGTTTCACACCGTAAGATATGATCAATCAGCTCTCACCTTCACAATACAAACTGAATTAATATTACCAGTCGTAGGCAGGAAGGGGTTAGTAATGCACATTTCATATTAATTCGATATTAATCACCTCCTGTGGTGAGAGATTGTTAACGTACATAGCATATTCGTATGTACGCCAGCACATAATACCATATACAACGTGTACATTGCAAAGGGCCAACTCACAATAGAAACCTAACAGTCAATACTGGCTCATTAATCAAGGAATTAAAAGCGTTGAATCCACGTCTTGCACGATACCTTTCTGTGTGGCGGAAAAGTCATCAGTCACCGAGCTCTACACAATGGCCAAACAACCTTGGAGATAGATTTCAGGGACTTGCTCGGTTAGTTAAGATAACGTGACCCGATATTTGATTTTTCACATGCTGTTAGTTGTGGGTTTCAACAATGACGAAATGTAAAGAGGAAATTAAGGTAGCTTGTTTTGATGGCCTTTCTTTCACCCATAGGAGCACTTGTTTTTGGACAAGGGCTATTAATGCAATCTGCAATCATCATTAATCAACGGTATGACAACAACATTCTATTAGCGCACATCAGGATAGTATCTGTCGTTAACTACCGAGCGTTTAATAATGTACTGCTATTGAAATCAATATGATTTAATAATTATCGTCTTGACATTTTGCTCCGTACCTTGCCTTTGAAGCTGAGAATGAAATTCGTTTAGTTACGAATATGGGGTTTAATATGTGAAATTTGTCGATACTTGGCATTGTAGATGTTGTTCTATTTGTCAGTATTCTGTTTGGGAATTCTATGTTTAATTTGCCAGCAAGGGTAGTAATTTGTTTCGCTTTTCAATGCGGGGAATTCGGCATATATTTTTTCAATACGGGGTATTTTTGTTAAATAACTCATAGGTAACTAGGTAAATTTAACTTTTGATTTGTGTTTCTAGCAGTCGGTGAGTAAATATGAAACGTGTAACTTATAGATGATAAATTCGACGGTTTGACGTAGACTCATTAACCGGTTTGAGCTACAGTGACCACGATATAGAACTGAGGGTATACATAATATGTGGTTATCAGCATCAGTGTAACAGCAGGCATTTGGTGAATCCAGATGTACCTGCAAACGTTTATCTATACTTCAGCACTTTGGTGCTTCCAGGTGCTGTTTTACCTGTAAATGTTTACCTATACTTTAGCACTTTAGTGCTTCAGGTTCTGTTTTACCTGTAAATGTTTACCTATACTTCAGCACTTTAGTGCTTCAGGTTCTGTTTTACCTGTAAATGTTTACCTATACTTCAGCACTTTAGTGCTTCAGGTTCTGTTTTACCTGTAAATGTTTTTCCTATACTTCAGCACTTTTTAGTGCTTCAGGTTGCTTCAGTTTTTTTACCTGTAAATGTTTACCTATACTTCAGCACTTTAGTGCTTCAGGTTCTGTTTTACCTGTAAATGTTTACCTTTAGTGCTTCATACTTCCTATACTTCAGCTTTGGTGCTTCAGGTTCTGTTTTACCTGTAAATGTTTACCTATACTTCAGCACTTTAGTGCTTCAGGTTCTGTTTTACCTGTAAATGTTTACCTATACTTCAGCACTTTGGTGCTTCAGGTTCTGTTTTACCTGTAAATGTTTACCTATACTTCAGCACTTTAGTGCTTCAGGTTCTGTTTTACCTGTAAATGTTTACCTATACTTCAGTACTTTAGTGCTTCAGGTTCTGTTTTACCTGTAAATGTTTACCTATACTTCAGCACTTTGGTGCTTCCAGGTTCTGTTTTACCTGTAAATGTTTACCTATACTTCAGCACTTTGGTGCTTCAGGTTCTGTTTTACCTGTAAATGTTTACCTATACATCAGCACTTTAGTGCTTCAGGTTCTGTTTTACCTACCTATACATCAACACTTTAGTGCTTCAAACCTGTTTTTTCCTATACTTCAGCACTTTAGTGCTTCAGGTTCTGTTTTACCTGTAAATGTTTACCTATACTTCAGCACTTTAGTGCTTCAGGTTCTGTTTTACCTGTAAATGTTTTCCTATATTTCAGCACTTTGGTGCTTCAGGTTCTGTTTTACCTCTAAACGTTTATCTATACTTAGCACTTGATCTTGGTGGTTTATCTCATAGTTTACTTGTATATCTTTAATCTATATCTTAGACTTTTCACCGTTGATACACAGCATAGCTTGTAATGTATTTATTTCTGTTTCTTTACTCTAACTTTCATCTAATTTTATACCAGTGTGTTGTGTTAATGTTTTAAATGTCATAGGTCAAATATGGCCGAAGGTTGTACCTATTTTCTATTTGTATGTACAACCTGTGCAACGTTTCTTAACACTTCTCCCTCTGTCTGTCACTTTACGTTCGATTTCCCAAGTCTTAGGATCCCCCTCTCTGAATATATTAACAGTGTACAACACCACTTGAATAATCGTTGTGATCTTTTAAAGTAACTTCACAAAAATGACTTCACAATTTCCCACAGTTCCAAATAAAACCGATATGGCAATTCCACTCAAGTACATCTTCATCGACAGAAACATATCTGGTCTACCAGTATCAGATGCAGTATTTTCTTACAAAACGAATAATCATGAAATAAATAGGACCGAGTACAGACGTTGTTCAAGAGGAGACATTAAAACACGCACAATGTAATAGTATATAAATCTATTTTGTATGAGGTAATGTGAAACAAGGAAGTTCTCATGGGAAGCAAGTGAGTCACTTTTTACGACTGTAAATACCATTTAAGGAGGTAACTCGTATGTAAATATAAGATTTCATCGTCGCTATCCAAGTTACATGTCCGTACAGGGTAATCACGTCTCGTTCGCAGTTACCTCCCTTGTTCGTAGTTCCCTGATGTATATTTTCAGTATTAATCAGCTATCGTTTTGAACCGACGTCAGCATGAGGCGTGAAACAAAACGGATCATAAAGCGATCGTTGGATTCTTCAAATGACCCAGGTGTTCCAGTGGTCAAAAGTTGTCACTGATCACTGTGATGAGTAGCGTCCCTGCAGCTGTAAGGGGCCGCTGATCTTGGAAGCCATCGGCAGGTTCTATAATCTATACTCCTTGACGTGTCAGCCCCAGAACCGTAGTGGGTTTTGCCAAAGTGGTTTCCGACTTCCGTCCCTTGACCTTTCCTCTAACATTAAATTATATAGGGGCGGTGGGGTAGCAGTGTGGTTAAAGCGTTCGCTCGTCACGCCGAAGACCCGGGTTCGATTCACCACATGGTTACAATATGTGAAGCCCATTTATGGTGTCCCCCGCCGTGATATTGCTGGAATATTTCTAAAAGCGGTGTAAAACCATACTCCCTCCTCTCCCCCCCCTCCCCCCTCTCACTCCATTATATAACTCAAATACTGTTAAGACGTGATCGTTAACTACCCATCCATCTTGTCCACATACAAAATTGAGAACGGAACAATTGTCTAGGCTGAATCATCTTCTCTAGTCGTATTAATGAAATGTTTGTTATACTCCCCAAGGAGTTGAGAATTCAAACTGAATGTACACTGATCCGCTCAACAGGGTTATAATTGCATGATCAATGAACCTCCGGTGCTATTCTTCTTCATCTCATTCTTCTTTTTCTTTGTAATTGTCCTTGAGAAAGAACAAACTGAGCGATGGATTCTCATCAATCAGTGATAGTATCATTCCTCACTTAGAAATTACTAGACCTGCTTAATGGCGTGCTCAAGGCGCGCGGTATATTGTCATCCTGAATCCAGGATATGTTGGACAGAAATTGCACTCTTCAATCCCTGGACAATATCCAGTCACCACCTGATCCCCGGCCATCGAGGTATTAAATGTATAAATATAAATGTATTTGTTCTTTAATCTATGTTTCTCTGTTCGCAGTCGGGGACAAGTGCTTGTTCGAGACAGTAACAACTCCGACTGGATATACATTGTCAAGTCGGTGAGTAGGAACCGGGGGCTGCGGACAACGATCTCGTCCACGTCTCATATCGTGCTGATCTACTATATATACTACCCATCAAAAATTTAGACTCATTTAAAGCACTCACTATATGTTATGTATATATATGTGGTTACATCGAAGATGAATTTCTCCACTAACTTGGCGGAACCAACTGCAAACCTTATGCAGATGAATTGCACGAGGATCATGCATCAAATAATTATTGCTGAAAAGCCTGTGCAAATATCGTGCATGTGAACAGCTGCGTTTTGGTGTAAAGTTTTGTTAAGAATTCGCCAATTTTTTTTACGGAGTTTCATCATTTATTGAACTCATGGCATTACTCTTTTCAACTTTACGAATTTGTTTTTACAATACATCAGTTCATGTGTAAACAGTACCTTTAAACAGCATGGAATATTTTGTAAAATCTAGTTCAGAACAGTTGACTGAAGTAAGTGTCTACATTTACACTAGTGAGTCTAAACCTTTGATGGGTAGTATATATTATAACTTGATACGAACTGGTATTTATACCCATTACACCATGGGTATGTTATTTTTAACGTCGCGATTATTATATTCCCAGTTATACAATGGCCATCTGTATAATGGAATCTGGGAACGTAACACTAAGGTGATCTTAGCGCTATCTTTGTGCAACGGCCAAACAAACTTTATAAATATATATAAATGAAATAGTTGTAATGGAAAGTAGTTTTAGCTCTGTTCTCCTTCCTCTCCGGCGGTAAACACGTTGTTTTCCTTCAGCTCTGAACACGGCGAACCTGCTCTCGTCACTGAAGACGACCCTCTGCCAGTCACGTCGCTGCCAACGAACGTAAAGTTCGGGCCAATGTCAGTCTCCGACGACGATGTTCAGCGGTCAGTAACTGTCCTCGTAGTGGTCGGTATGCTCTAATACCTTGAGCTCGGAGTCGCCTGCTGACAATCTGTCGACTGACTCGATGACGTAAGGCATTCGTCGCTGATGACGTCACTGTGAGGAATCGATTTCGGAGGTGTAAGGTGCGCAGATACCGGTCTTCCTTAGGGATAGTAACTCTGGGTCTTCCTGATCTTGGTCTGTCTGAGGTCTGTCCAGTCTGTCGGAAACGTTGCATCAAGTTGGTTACAGCAACACGTGAGTAACCGAAGCAATGTGGGCGTGGGTGGCCCCGATCTGGACCATTCCGATGGCTCGTTCTCGCTCTGCAGCTGTAAGGCGTGGCATTTCTTTGTGTTTTTCTATTGCAGTGAATGATGGGCAAACCTTCAAAACCCTTTTTATACCCACCACGCACGTGCAGTTTTCATACTGAACGAGTCACGTGATTTTGATCTTTTCGCATTTTCACATTTTAAATGCAAAACATGCGCTTCACGTGTTGTATCGAGGATTGCTGTGTTCTAGCGATGTGTTTTTTTTCACTTGTTTGCGGACCTACAAACTACTTTTCATTCCAATTATTTCATTTGTATATTTGGGTAGTAAAGTAAATCTTTTGGTGTTAGTATATATTTACAAGGTAGTTTGTTGTATATTTACAAGGGAGTTTGTCGTATATTTACAGGGTAGTGTGTCGTGTATTTGCAGTGGAATTTGTCGTATATTTACAGGGTAGTGTGTCGTATATTCATAGGGCAGTTCGTCGTATATTTACAAGGTAGTTTGTCGTATATTTACAGGGGAGTTTGTCGCATATTTACAGGGTAGTGTGTCGTATATTTATTGGGCAGTTTGTCGTATATTTACAAGGTAGTTTGTCGTATATCTACAGGGCAATTTGTCGTATATTTACAGGAAAGTTTGTCGTATATTTACAAAAAGGTTGTCGTATATTTACAGTGAAGTTTGTCGTATATAGACAGTGAAGTTTGTCGTATATTTACAGTGAAGTTTGTCGTATATTTACAGGGTAGTGTGTCGTATATTTACAGGGTAGTTTGTCGTATATTTACAGTGAAGTTTGTCGTATGTTTACAGTGAAGTTTGTCGTATATTTACAAGGAAGTTTGTCGTATATTTACAGTGAAGTTTGTCGTATATTTACAGTGAAGTTTGTCGTATATTTACAGGGTAGTTTGTCCGTGTTGAAGAAGCTCCAGGCCGCACAACCAGATGCCACAAGACACACGAAGGAACCAGGTAAAGCGGATATGTTATTGTTTAGGATGCACATGGTGCAGATGACGGTGTTGGTGACGTTGACCAACCATTAGGAATTACGAGTGTTTTAATCGACAGAGTGATCGATATAACAATGACGCTTACATGCTTAATTATATTATTATTGTGCATTATCAGAGGGTATGAGTGTGTGAATGTTGAGGTTGTCAGTGGGTAGTTGTATGAGGGGGTGCATGTATGGGTATGGGGATCTGTGAGTGTCTCTGGATATGAGCGTGTGGGTGTCTGAATATGTGTACAGGTGGATGTTAAAGAAACCACCACAGATATTTCAGCCACAATGAGTGAGTGAGTGAGTGAGTGAGTTGGGTTTTACGCCGCTTTTAGCAGTATTTCAGCAATATTACGGCAGGGGACTCAACGATCAATTGTCCTGGCTTTGTAGATTGGTATTGAGTGAGGTGAGGTAGCCTAGAGGATAAAGTGTTTGCTCGTCACGCCGAAGACCGGTTCGATTCCCAAGATGGGTACAATGTGTGAAGCACATTTCTGATATCCCCAGCCGTGATATTGCTGGATTATTGCTAAAAGACGGTTGAAACCTTACTCAGTACGTCAACTGAGTTTAGTTTTACGCCGCACTCAGCAATGTTTCAACTATATGGCGGCGGTCTGTAAATAATCGAGTCTGGACCAGACAATCCAGTGATCAACATCATGAGCATCAATCTACGCAATTGGGATATGATGACGTGTCAACCATGTCAGCGAACCTGACCACCAGATCCCGTTAGTCGCCTCTTACGACACGCATGGGTTGCTGAAGATCAATTCTTCCCCATATCTTCACGGCTCAGCAGTCAGCTAGACACGAGCTGTATCATGTGGCCTGTTAATAGTCTGGGTCAGCCAAACCAGTGTACGTCCTACATTGTCAGGGTACGATGACAGACATTCAGCACTGTCGCCGGGCGCTGCAAGCCTGACCACCCTATTCAAAGTATCGTGCTTTAGGCCCCTTCTAGTCAAGTCAAGTTGTTTCTTTGATGTCTTACACTGAACTCAACAATATACCATGAACATCTATGGAGTGAGTGAGTTTAGTTTTAAGCCGCCTTCAGCAATATCCCAGCAATATTGAGGCGGGGGACACCAGAAATGGGCAACCAGCTGTGGAACGGTGGTTTGTGAATATAGTCAGAACCAGACTATCCAGTGATTGGCACCATGACCTTTGATGTACGAATTTGGGACACCAATTCGGTGAGCTTGACCACTCAGTCCCGTTTGTCGCCTCTTAAGACAAACCTGGGTCCTTTTTTAACCCCCGGTATTAACAGCAATGCACAATAATAATATGATTAAACATGTAAGCGTCTTTGTTATAGCGATCACTCTGTCGTTTAAAACACTCGTAATTCCTAATGGTTGGTACTATCTACAATCAATTACAAATTTCAACAAGGTGTGGCGTTTGAAGGAGAAGCACCCACAACTTCGCGCCACTTTTGTCCAATGAACAAGTCGTGTTCCAGTTTGAAGTCAGCGTTTTAAATGATAAATAGAACATAACAGGCTATCAAGCTAAAAGGAAAACGGATTTATCCGTGCACAATAAATAGCCAATAAACCAGTCACTGCTGACGTAGTGTTGTTTACACAGGCAAAAAAATCGCTTGCATGTAACGGTGAATGTAGCGTTAATGCCTCTGCAAATACACTTTGTCCCTAAGTGCGTCATGGTAAATGTTATTAGTGTCTACGCCTGACGTCTTGCACCTATGTATTTCATTGTTTTAGGCCAACATACTTCAGACCCTGAGAGGTATTATTTAAACGTGGATTGTATTTTTATCAGTACACTTAAAATGTAACCCTGTTTTAAGATCCGGGTCAGAATTAGCATCTTCACCCGAGAAGGTGGTCAAGTTCGGAGGCTTTGCCCCCAATGTGTAGAATGCTAGCAGTTACGTTCTCTTATAATACGACTAAATATTGCTATTTGATTTTGTTCCCAACTGTCGTTTCAGATGAAAGTGATCAGCGTGTTAGTCGATCCTTAGGGTCATGGGACCGTCGTTTGCGGAAGCGAAGACCGAAACATCCACAGCGCATGTCCATGACAGACCCGGAAGTGTATAGGAGCCAGTTTGAAATGGAGAAACGACTGGTAATGTTATGTTTATATTCATGGCTGTTTTAAAACCTGACAACCTCTTAGTGCCCTGTTTTATTGGACAAGAAGATATGCCGCTCTTTCTAAAAGCATGGCAACGTCCTCAGCCAAGCCCGCATGATCTCATTTCCTTCGGTATTCCATGCTCCTAAAATCAAGGGCGTACCCAAATAAACAACGAACAATACGCTGTCTAAAGATTCTATTAAAGCACGAAGAGTTACTGTAATCTCAGCATTATCATTACACTTGTTATGAGATCATTCACTTACTGGTTTCGTGGCTGTGATATAAACAGAAGTCATGTATTTCTACACTACAACTCCCAGCTCCCAGGGACCGCCATAGGTCAATAATAAAGTATGCAGCTACGATTGTTTATAAAAGGCTATGAGGTGGACATTTAATGGTTAATATAAACACTACGTGAAAGTAAGATCGCTTGGGGGAAATAATAAAAAGGACATAAAAATAATGTTCTCATACTTTTTTCTTGGGGGTAACCTAAAGGTTAAAGCGCCCGCCCGTTACGCCAAAGGCCCGGGTTCGATACGCTAAGAAATACATGTACAATTTGTGCCATGTTCTGGTGTGTCCCCCACCATGATATTGCTGTAATATCGCTAACGTGCTAACCGTATGCACGTACTCATTCCAGACAGTCAAAGTAGCTTCCCTTGATTGTGTTTACTGATGCGTCTTCGTGCCCCGTACCTTGAGTAAGAGAGCCGTTGGTCTCGAGATCTATGTTCAATTCCTCACTTGTGACCCATGTACTTCCACCGCTCGTCAACATAGGAGGAATATATCCCCAGCTTTTGGAGATGGCCGCACGATACGTTGATCAGTTTCGGTCCGCTGGTTGATTGTGGGTCATCATCTTCAGAAACATGAGGTGTTCATCATAATAGTGAGTGAGTGAGTTTAGTTTTACGCCACTTTTAGCAATATTCCAGCAATATCACGGCGGGCTTCACACATTGTACCCATGTGGGGAATCGAACCTGGGTCTTCGGCGTGACGAGCGAACGCTTTAACCACTAGGCTACCCTGCCGCCCCTTCATCATAATAAAGCGACATAGCTGGAATACTGCTATAGAGGGGTCAACAAACGAAGCACCGGTTAAACTAACAATAGACTGCAGTCTTCTAAACATACGGTGCTGAATTTACACAGTCCATTATATAAACTGATATACATGTTTAACCTTGTGGCGGCAACGTTCTTGGAACCATCGAAAATTCGAGTTATCCCTGTTTGAGGAAAGCGGAGTATTGAATGCAGATCCTGATCAGTGAATTAACAGGGATACGACCTTCAAAGTGGTCTTAGCTACGACTGTGGTAAAGTCCCATTAGTGAGTTATTTCAACCATGTTGTGACGTTATATTTGTAAACAAAACATTTCAAACAAACGACAGTAAAATAACTAGACGTTCACAGATAAGGGTTTAAAACTAGCATGTAACCATCAAATATATCATCATAATAACAAATACAATATGAAAACGGGTTATAGATCGCCAACAACTGGAGGCTGATCACCATGCTAGAGATCACGGGGATTTCCAGTACTTTTGTTACCTGCATGGACCCGAGCCGGATTTACACCATCCCTTCAGCCGTTGGTGATTGTACTCCATTTAGCCAAACATTAAAAGTACATATATTCTGCGATTAAAATTCCTATTTAAGTAGGGGCGGTGGGGAATCCAAGTGGTCCGATCGTCACGTCGAAGACCCAGGTTCATGGACACAATGTGTGAAGCCCATTCCTGGTGTCCTCCGCCGTGATATTGCTGGAATATTGCTAAAAGCGGCGTAAAACCATACTCACTCACTCACTGCTATTAAAGTATGGGAGTTCAGATGTCATCGTTTCCTGGAATGGATCCCTGGATTGAGCATTATGATGCCTAATGATGAGATGCCTCATAAAATAACGATAATCATATATTATTTGAGATTTGGTTTTTACATCCAGCTATCACAGACAAAATGTTATGAAATATTAAAACAGAAAATATCAAATATCAGCACTGAACTATTTGGACTAGGTTTGTTGAGTTTCTTTAAATGCACGTATCGATCTAGGCACGTCAGTCACAACGATAAATTGGGTGGTGCTCCTTCAGTGTGGTGTAACTAGGGCAATACAATGGCATTTGTAATGAGACAATCCGCTGGTGTTTCCCGTATCTCAGCAATGCCAAAACAGTCGTGCTTTTTCCCCGAGAAAGTAATGCCATATGATCCAACAGCATGCATTTTTACTTCTCAAGGACTTTGCTGTTTCCACAGCTTAATTAAACGAACTGAAATCTTAACTCAAAGAACCATATGGACGATTAGGATTCACGTTTGGAGACGCAGAGGCTGCAGTTCTATATTACAGAAATGCGTGCCAAGCTTCAATAGAATAAAGATTTATGGCAGTCCTTGAGATAATATTTTAAAGTTATTTTTAAAAACTGTCTTTGAAGATCATTTGTACACATGCAACCTGTTTGTTTTGTCACAGTAGGAATAGGAATAAAGAATATTAATGGAATCTGACTTTTGTTCAAAGATGGAGGGCTGAACTATTTGAGTTTAACATATATTTCAAATAAACAGAGACGGACATCTTGCAGAGGCAAGGGTGGATGCTGGACTTTTATAGTTAATTCCCTTGCATAGGGAAGATGGATAATCCATACAAAAAACGAAGATAGAAGGGAGGACACACAATAACAAATATTATGATCGTTGACGTTATGTCCATTTGGGATAGGAGCCGTGAATATCCGGGTTAGAGTCGGTCTTAACCCATGCTTGTCGTACGAGGCGACTAACGGGTCGTCAGGCTCGCTGACTTGGTTAACACATGCCATCGTATCTCAATTGCGTAGATTGCTCATGCTGTTGGTCACTTGATTGTCTGGTTCAGACTCGATTATTCACAGAAGCCGCGATGTGGCTGGAATATTGCTGAGTGCGGCGTAAAACGACAAACAGAATACATTGGGATATTGGCATTATGTAACTAGTGAATGGACATCGTCGTGATATCCAACTATACTGATATAGAAAGTTCAGACAATATCACGGTAACAGAACGCAGAACATATTATTCTGTTAACTTCGTGACACTCTTCTGTAACACAGGAACAAACCTTACCGGGATTTCACAACACTAAGGACCGACTTGGTCTCATAGACTATGATGCCGTCATTCGTGAACATCGTTCCCGTCTAATACAACGACCTTCTGAGTCGACGTTGTTGCCAAAGATAGATGTTGCCGAGAAGCCGGAGAAGAGGCCCGGCCGGCGTGACAGCGTGACAGATAGGCAACTACGCCTTCCACCTATACACAACAAAGATGGCGACGTTGATGATCACGGAAGAAGTCCGAAACCGGAAATACGACCCGTCAGCAAAACTGCCAAGGTATTAATTTCGGGTTACGTTAAACGTCAATTGGCCTACTTGTTTGTAGTCCCTCTAAACCCTTTAAGCCCTGACCTATAAAGCTAAGGCTCCCGAAGCAAAACTGCCAAGGTATTAATTTCGGATAACGTTGCCTATTAAACGTCAACTGGCCTATTTGTTTGTATTCCACTAAATCCTTTAAGCCCTGACCTTAAAGGCTAAGGTTCCTCAAGAATATAGTCTTGTTGTCAGTACGAGTCATCCTTTTGCATGTCATTCGTCGACCATTATCCAGGTCTCTCTTTCTGTTAGGGTGTATACCTGGCCCCTAGCCCCGTTAGACCACGGCACCAGGTGGGGGAAGATGGACGGACTTTATCCGAGGTGTCCGATACTCAGAAGGGACAGACAAGAGGGGATAGGGTCAGCGAGGAGTTGGCTAAGATGCAGATCGGTGAGTGTTGGGGATGTGTCCTCTGGCAGGATGTACTCATCAATTTGAGGGTAAGAATTGGCAACTCATGCTTGTAGGAGGCGACTAACGGGATCGGGTGGTCAAGTTCACTGACTTGGTTGACACATGCCATCGTACCTCAGTTTTGTAGGCCGACGATCATGATGTCCGGGTTGTCTGGTCCAGACTCGATTATTCCCAGACCGCCGTCATATAGCTGGAACACTGCGGCGTTAAACAACAAACAAACAAACAAACAAACAAACGAATCTTCCAGGATGCGAAAATTGTTGCAAATGTGAATGAAAACTACTAAATCCTTGAGATCCATGACAGTTCCTGTCAAGGGTAAATGTATACATCCAGTAACTTGTGAATGGAAATATGAGCAACGATCCACCGAGCCCGGTGACACCCAGTCCCAAATAAACAAACCCAATATTTACCGTCTCATGCATAAGGCCAACGATGCATATTTTTCCTGATTTGAAATGCACATCAAGAAATGATTTGATATTATATGTGTAAATTTCATGGGCCTAATAAAGGTTTGTTTATATTTTTTGGAGGGGGGAGGGGGCAAATACAAATATAAACACGAATATATTTGAACACGTGATTTGTTTGTTAAACAGAGTACCGGCGTAAGATTATGGAGCGGGAGGGCCGCAAGACGATAGCGGAGGAGCTGGACAGCAAAGGACGGAGGGACTTCGTATTCACTGAGGCTGACCTCAACCCCATGTTCATACTCGTCCAAGTGCTGGAGCGGGGGCAGTACTTCGTAAGTTACCATCTTGTAAGGATACACTCAATCACTCACTCAAATGACCTTTGCTGGTCGTAAAAAGCGGGGGCAGCATGAAACAGTCAAGTGTGTGACGTAATAATAATAAAAATAATGGATAGCATTTATATAGCGCAAATCTCCGCAAAGGACTCTTTGCGCTTGCTTTGTTTTTCCCTCGTTCACTGGATGTCAATCTCGACGGCACATCGTATTGTCAATCTCAACTCCCTGGGGATCATACAACTCTTGCAGCAACTAGGCGCACCGAGTTATTGTGGCATTCCCATCCTTACGAAGTACCCATTCACAGCTGGGTGGACTGGGACACATAGTCACAGTACTTTGTCCAAGTTCACTGCACGTTGCTGTAACCGCAACTGGGTGTTTGCACGTATTCATGTGGCCACCATCTGGTCATATACCAACGGATTCGTGGGTTCTTTTAAGTGCACAGGGTTGTGTACTGTACACTAGGGGTTGTGACAACACTGAAAGAGTCTGCACACAAAGTTGACTCCAAGGTTTTTACACCCGGTCACAGGTGGGCTCGATCCCGTCACCTCAATCTCGCTGGATCTCTAGCCTGGCGCTTTAGCCAGTTCGCCCACCGCGTCCCCGTCATTGTTGGCATGACATCGTACCCCGACTGTGTGAACCATCACAATATCAATCACTAGACTTTCTGGTCCAGACATTTTACAAGCTAGTATTTCACAACTGGAATACTGCTGACTGCAAAGTTAAATAAACAAAAAAACACTAAGCTCATCAATCACTTCCTACTCTCAGGGCGTGAGCAATATGGTCTACCCAGAGCAGCCAAGTCTGAGCCTCGTGAGCAATGGCGCCGAGTGTATAGTGTTGTCCAAGAAGTTCTTCCAGGAGAGATCCAGCGATGCTAACATGCGACACGTCAGGCACACTGTAAGTATGCCATCCCTATTATCACCTGCCGACTGAAATAACACCCTATCTGTCTTGTGTCACTTTCCTGATGAGTCGTATTCAACAGGTTTATGTAAATGAACCGTGTTTTGTGTGATTCTGAACTCAAACGGTGGTATGAAGGACGTGCAGCATCTCTCATAACAAGCTTACTGGTTGGAAAAGAAAGATGTACTGTGTTGGTACATTGTCTTCCCACTGATTAATCACTAGTCTAGTAGGGCGAGTTCAAGGCTTTCCATAGCCACATGTAGTGTATTCCTGTGGTATATATATACGTGTTAAAGGCGCTCCCCGAGTTTGATGATATGGTATGTAATTCAAAATGCCGTGTCGTGTTGTTTATCCGCGCTGGGTTAATGAGCAGATACTCTGTCATTGTTTAAGTCTGATATCATAAATCCCTCTTAGTTGACACAACTAGTCTACAAACCTCTTAAACCAGCATGTCATATGAGGTGAGGTGAGGTGAAATTGGGTTTATCGTCGTGCTTGAGAATATTTCGCTCATATAACGACGTGCATGCGTGTGTATGTGTATGTGCGGCTGCTTGTACTAGCCCAGACTGAAGCTGGTTTTACAGTGCCAGCCCACTGAGATATCATGCCGCAGTGAAGCATGAATACCCCACTCAGACACATTATACTGACTCCGAGCCGACCAGTCCTTGTTGTACCCATTAATGCCGAGCGCCAGGCAGGGACCAATAAGTACCATATTTTAACGTCTTTTGGTATGACACGGTCGGGGATCGAACCCGCCCCCTCCGCTCTCCGGGCGGACGCTCTAACCACTACACCACGGAGGCGGTTTGTCATATGAGAGGCGGTAGGGGTAGCATAGAGGTTAAAGCGTTCGCTTGTGACGCCGAAGACCCAGGTTCGATTCCTCACATACGTGAAATATGGATGAAAGCCGCATAAAGCCATATCCACTCTGTGTTATATGATAACCCAGTACACTGTATAAACCGTCGCCGGGCATTTCTCATCTGTTGGATAAATGATGATAGTTTCAACATGTTTCGATGAATGAGCTAGAACGCCACACCTTAACATTTGGTTAGAAATATTTTGATAATACTGTTAGTGTAAATTACCAGGTAAAAGAAAACGCACATACAGCCTTGAACATTGCCCCAAATATTACAAGCTTTATTACAACTTTACTATCATGAAAACAGTCGCAAACTCTCTGCAAACTCCCATCACCTCCAGTAACAGTATCTCAATGTTAGCGATCATCAAACACGAGTGTATAGTTTCCCAGCCTGGTTCCCTAGGTCCGTTGCGCCTGCGCTAACGCCCCAACACTGACACTGACGCAACAGACCCAGGGAACCAGGCTGCTAGTTTCCTGGCAGGTCAGTAATACCAAGAGTGGTAACCATGCTGCTGTGGCCCTGGAGGTTCTATAAGAAGCGTAATAAAATTCCCACGTATACGTCCTCGGAAACATGAACCCTTGGAAGATACTGCTTGTTATAACATTCCTGGAGGAGCAGGATGGAGTGACTGTATCCTCCTGACTAACCAATCTGCATCCTCGGGAGGTCCTTGCGTCCTCTTCCTCAGCTTTCCCCCGAGTTTCGGGCACCTGGGTTATGTCCGCCCATCTCCTCCACGTACAGTCAAACCGAAACACTAAAAATAATAATTAATACAACCCTTTTTATAATCACAAGACTTCTATGCACAGGTCATAGTCCATTATATCATAGAAATATCTTGATAAAGAACTATTAAATAAGCATGACGTTAGATGTTGACGTAAAGGTGATGGTATCCAGCTCAACGGATGACGTCACAAACATGCACACGCAAGTCAAGCGCTCACTATCTGAAATAAACACTGCAACATTTGGTATAAAAACAGAAATTGCAACAGACGTAATTTTGGTTATTTATGTTTCAACTTCGGACTTGAATGTAAACGTTTGAAAACCTTTAAAGTTTAAGTAAAATCATGTAAATTGACCTAAACACATCGGGAAACCCGAGTCTAATTATGTATAATAGTACTTTTATTATTGATATGTTTTTTAATGAGGATACATACATAATTTGTCAACTTATGTTTTATGTTTTAATACATTAACATTAAAGTAAACGAGCCGTTTATCATGTCTGTGCAACACAGAATGGCCGCTGGCAATCAAGCCGGGTATTCTCTGTGGTGCCCATCACTGAGAAATAAAGGAGACATGTGCCTCCTCCGGAGTCTAGCCGACAACAGCACTATAATGCTGGAACTGACGTCGCTTTACGCTGCATAGTGTTAGATTGTCATTTGTACTAATTCTTACCTCCTTAAAACAAATAGCGTCTGGGTCAGAGCGTCTCGTTGTGTTCCCAGAGCTACGAAATAGATGACCCTGGTTTCCAGCCATGTTCAAATTGTCGTTCATCAACATTTGGAAGGGTCTTGATTATACAGAAAAACTTTACATGTTTTCTCAAGGTGCTATTGAAATATGTTATGACATTTGCTATAGGTCAAGGTGAAATTGGGGAGTTGCTTCTAATCATGGCGGCCATTTAGTTGCCATGATACCAGAAAGGTAGATGTGTTTAGAATTCCTTCATATATCAGTAATACATGAATTATCATTTATCTGGTGTGTGCGAAAACAATATCATTTGCAATTATATCTTTTTCCATGATTATTTCGTGACCAGGAGTGATGTGGCATAGTTGTTAGTGTACCTGTCACCATGATGTTTCCCGTTCTTTAGGAATGTCCATTCCCAGACGAAGTTGAGCTTCAAAAGAATCTGAAGGATTACGTGAACTGGGAGGCCCACCGAGCCAAGATCTACCGTCGCCTCGTCAGGCAAAAACAGAAGCATCACGCCAAGAAGAAACAGTTTCTTCCACAGTATGTTGGACAGTACAGCTTCAGAACGGGCCCTTTATGATGTTTTGTACTTTGCACTAGCCCATATTTAACGTTCATGAAGAAGGCTTAGTGATCGAACTTATTGAACACCCATCACCCGTGCAACGACAAAGAAATGGATCATAAGAAACTATAGTTCTTTCTGTAGCAATTAATGGATGTTCATCCCTGTATACATTCACGGACATTAATACACAACAAGAGGCACTTGCTTGCTTATGTTGTCACTTGGGCCATGATTGGGCGATGGACATACGGCGGGAATACAGTCTGTTCAATGATCAACATCTGTCTTATCTTTCTGGACACATTTTCCAAATCCTATCATGGCACAAGCTTCAAAGACATCTGCGCCAATGGTCCCTTTGCTACCCAATACAGCAAGGCAATGCTTGGTTTGTCAATAAACCTTATGAAATGGGGGCATTGCTTGTTATCCCATCATAGATTACCTGCTAAAAATGTATAACTCAATACAGAGCATCTTTGCCTCTGCTGAGGTAGTCATATTTTGGTACCTTCTACGTGAGGAGGTGACTTGGATCGTTGCACTTTTGGGATGCATTTTCCATATTCCTTATATCAGATAATTTTTTGCGCTTCCAAAAGTGCTATATACACCTTTAGCCTTACTAGGGTTTATAATATTATATGAAATCAGATATTTGCTTCCACGAAAAACGTGAATCTTGAAGCATTTACTCATTATTGTGCGTAACTCAGGACTTTTTATATGTATTTATTTACACCAAGACAAAGGCTTCAATGAAGCTGCCCTGTTGTCGACCTTCTTCGTGTTAATTTCGTTTCCATTGCAAAATAATAAGATTCATTGTGGTAAAACACTAATGACTGTACTACTCGACTAATGGATATCCATAACCTCATGTGGCGTATCCAAACTATATTAGACAAGCTGGACAACAGTGTCCAGTAATCTGCTACGCTAATTACAAGCAGAGTGTCTAGATACTGATTACACCTTCACGTCGAGCGTGGGGAAATGTACATCCGTGTGATTTCAAACAACCATCGCAAAGGTGTTATGTTGATCTGCAGGAATTAATCATTTGCATATTTATACTCATCCTGGTGTCAAGTTTTAACTGAAAGGGTATTCTTGCAATGGTTTTAGACTGTAAAAACCATATTCAACTAATAGATAATTAACATGATTTTTAATACATTTGGAAAGGTTTGTTCGTGTCTTCATATCCGTTCACAAAATAACAGATCGCACTACGCAATTCACTGTTCTTGTTAAGAAATGTTAACTTTTGTTCTGTACAGCGAAGTTTCTGAAGATGTTACACATGTTACAGAGTCCTGTTTTCATGTTATCATATGCATATCTGTGATACTGATGCTATGTCTGTGATAAGATAAAGTGCCATTAAAAACTGTCTCTTTCAAAACCTGTGTATTTTTTAATAGGTTTTGTACCAATTTCTGCTTTATATCTGCTTTTTTAATCAGTTGATTATAGCCACAGCCAACGTCTATGGACTCTAATGCTGTCCGTATTATTTCCTGAGATTCCAATCTCCCACATGCCCTGAATTTTTATTCCAACATTGAAAAAAAATTCCTATCTCAATTTTCCCGGCTGCATTGGATAATTACGCCATGATGTGATAAAAAGGATGTTACTACCATAGCACACTCATAAAGTCCAGGTCAGTGTGATCTTTCGTCAGCTATGCTTAACAGACATAATTATTGGTTTCCGAAGAAGCTACTCAATCTACGTCATAAATAAATTTAAAGACGCGACACCAAGCGTTTTAAAATTCAATAAAACAAATTACAAATTTGTGAAAAAGATTTAAAATTTGTTTGTATTCTCTCTGCTTGGTTGAGGGTGTACATGAGCAACAATATGAAGCAATATGGATGGCCTAACAGTGGACGCAGTATTCGTTATGCCCCAGCTGCCAGGATCGGCGGGTGGAGCCAAATACCAGAATATGATCTGAGTAAGTGAGCATAGTCTTAGTGCTTTCTTTCTAACCATGCAAAACATTAGAAATCCCCTCTTTAAGTGGGTTTGTGAGTGCACTTTATGCATTTTCATCTTCACAGTTTATCAAACTATGCAATAAACAGTTAATTCTTGGTCGGTATATATTTAGCCCGCAAAGTTAATTTTGTGTTTTATAAAAGAACACATCAAAACCATTTCCAAAATCCCTGTTGAACGCTGAATCCATTGTATGATCAATTATATAAAACTCCCAATTCGTGATATGAAATTTGTAGTTCAAGAGGCGGCTGCTTTTCAATTAAACGGTTAAAATGGATTCTTGTTCCGAGAAATGAATGGATAAACGCTGTGGATTTAATTAAGTCTCCACATAAATAGAATGAGACAATAGACCAGTTTCGTAACGTGTGTTGAAAAGGGTGGACATCTTAGTCATTATGCCTGTAGCTTGGTCTACAGTTTCTACAGGGATTCACTTTAATGCGCCATATACAGACATACCTGAGAGGTATAGACACTTCCTAATTACCGCCATTCCTTGTGATCTTCCCTTCTCTAACGAAACCCCATTTATGTTGAGCATTAGGTCTTAATAGGATGCCGAAATTTAATCACCAAGGGAGTCTATTTTGACTCTGTAACAAGTAACCCACTTTCGTTGTTTAAATTTAGTCCCAAACTCAGGTATGGCGTGGTGCTAGATAACTAGATCCATCGCCAGGTAATTAAATTTCAAGGTGCTGATGCTGACGTTTTGTACAAGTATTAATGTTGATTAAGGCTGTAAAATGAGCGCTGTTTGATCCTACGTAATCTATTGGTTATAGTTTACTCGAACCTGTATTTGAAGTGCAATCACGATATATTTTGATTCAAATTATCGCTGATATGGCTCTGACATTGTGTAAAAAATAATTTATCCAAATTTATTATATACTAAGCATGAAATGTAATGATGCCTTTTTGTCTCACATCGGTGATATCCCCAAGTAGTAGTATTTGGCGCGGTTTGAACAACAACGTTTTAAAATGCGACATGACCGGTACCATTTTTTTTAGCAAACATTTGAAAAAAGTTTTATAGTGTGTTTTTATACTCAAAGTAAAAACTTCAACTCTGGCATTTGAAACATACAAGGGCTCTGGGTTATCAAGTGCCCCTGGTTACCACGTGGAAACACAACGACTTACATGTCAGTTTCTGTTTCGATATTCAATATCACTGGAAAATATCTCAAATTAAATGTCAAGGACTGTTTGTAACATCTTTAAAAAGCTGCAAAGACAACTTGTCGCATAGTAATGCTCATGTTTGGTATCACCGTTGTTCAGCAGAATATATTGAAAACAAATCATATCTTGTTCTCGAGGGATTACTGGTGCGTTCCTGAGGCATCTGATTATGTTTCAACACATGTATAGTCCGTCTGGCTCAAAAGCGGACCGATGAATTGCAATCTAACTCGAAAACTAATAAACATAAAATACTCAATGAAACGCTGATCATAATCAAAACATCATACCAACTCTGTGAGGTTTTTGCAGAATTTTTGTCCTAAAATTAAAAAAGTTGTTAAACAATCTATCATTAAAATATTGACACAGTTCACTATTTGTTACGAGGGAGGAGTGCAGAGAAAGGGACAGCCAGGTGTTCGAGAACGGATGGAGACGGCACAGCACAGGTTAATGAAAAAATAACTTTGTCTGTGAACGTGCTTCTCGAACACCTGGCTGTCCCTTTCTCTGCACTCCTCCCTCGTAACAAACAGTGAACTGTGTCAATATTTTAATGATAGTTTGTTAAACAACTTTACTATTTTTAGGACAAAAATTCTGCAAAAACCTCACAGAGTGGGTATGATGTTTTGATTATGATCAGCGTTTCATTGAGTATGTTATGTTTATTAGTTTTCGAGTTAGATTGCAATTCATCGGTCCGCTTTTGAGCCAAACGGACTGTAATTGAAAGTATCGTGTGCTTGAACCCAGAGTCGTCGTGATTATGTTTCTAGGTTCGCAAACGTTCCATCTGATTCGACGTGAGTGAGTGAGGATGGTTTTACGCTGCTTTTAGCCACATTCCAGCAATATCATGGTATGTGTGTGGTGTGGTGTGTGTGTGCACACAGAAATGGCCATGGGCTTCACAACATTGTGCCCATTTGGGTAATTGAACCCGGGTTCAAGTGAGTGAGTGAGTTTAGTTTTACGCCGCACTCAGCAACGTTCCAGCTATATGGCGGCGGTCTGTAAATAATCAAGTCTGGACCAGACTATCCTCTGATCAACAGTATGAGCATCGATCTGCGCAATTTGGAACCGATGACATGTATCAACCAAGTCAGCGAGCCTGACCACCCGATCCCGTTAGTCGCCTTACGACAAGCATTTGTTACTGAAGATCAGTTCTAACCCGGATCTTCACGGGTTGCTGAGCTATAAATCAAACTAAACATAAATGAATCCAATCAATGTGAAGATAACGTTTTCCCTCATGTTTAAGAACAAAATAAGTCATAAATATGCACAAAAGAATATCCAGTTTCCATTATCAACCGTAATAGAATTTCATTGGGCGAAAAGGCCATAATAGAATGGAAATGTGATGTCGAAACTCGCTCGCTTGTGAATAAAACTATGAAGCATTGTGTTTTACATATTTATTATTCATTGGCATACTCAACGCATTCATGTAGAAAATTACAAATTGTTTTGAAAATATGACTCAAATGTCTATGCTCAATGCAAACATATCAATATGGCTTTATACACATAATGTAGACAACCATAAATTTGTATCAACAATATTTTTACATTGTTCCAACGTTGTATACAAAAAGCCTACTATCGACTGGATCGTTCAGACAATGTACAACAACATTGTACCATCACAGTACAACAGGCAGGATTATACATATAGTTACAATACAGTCTGTTCCTTGTACAAACTATCATCATATACAAATATACCACTCAACTTTTGATAGGGATATTGCATTTTCCAATGATACACCAAACATTACCTATAAATTGGATGTTTCTGGCCCAGAAAGGCTTCCATACCTCCGTATTCCTGTCAAAGGTTGAGTCATAGATGTCACCGATGTAACAAACTAAACAATATTCAACAGTGTGATAGACAGGTGTTGCAAGTTGCAAGCTGCTGGACACCTGGAGACCCAGCGGTACCGTTACCATCTCTAACTTTTAAACTACTTAAATGCTTAGCAATCATATAACAAAAATAATAGATGGTATCGTTAAAATAAACCAGCGGTGACTGTTGCCATCACTAATTTTTAAACTACTTAAATGTTTAGCAATAATATAACAAAAATAATAGATGTTATCGTTAAAATGAAACGTCTACTTTGTATTGATGGTTAGAGTATCAATACAATAGTTAGAGTATCAATACAATAGTTAGAGTATCAATACAACACATGAGGTTCATATAAGTAATTGAATATATTATCGAGATTTTGTATGGATATTATTGGTACGAACAAACTATGGATAATAATCACTTAGCCGGCATATAGTATATGAAATGACCCTCAATTTACCATTGACCTTTCTATCAGTTATCGTTTGTGTACCGTTATGTATACCGTAAGTACATCACACGTTCCATTTCGTTATGAACTTCATTCACTAATAATAACCGGTTAAATGTAACCTAACGACCCTATACTATTCAAAATATGTTAAACAACACTCGAAGTTGTTTTATATGCCCATGCATGTTAGCTTTAGTCATGTGAAAAAAGTCAGATGTTCTTTAGTTCTTTTGGTAGTATATATCATGTTTAGATACCCGGTAGTGCCGAATAAGGAGTTAACTTTTTAAATGAATGTTGAAATTGCAAAGCAGCAAATAAACTATACACACATGGACTTGACAGCCTTCTTCATTGCAACAACTTTACAGGATAACCGTACATCGATGAATATCATTTTCACAATAGATGTGCATTTTTACAAATGATACGATGTGTATACTCTACGAGATATTATTACACCACGGGATATGTGTCATATTAATACTTTCATTTTCGTGACAATCATCGTGTTACATCATACATGCATGAGATAATATTGTCTTACTGATACACGATCACAAACAGATTACTACAGACAGTGTATGGAACAACAGATAATTGATTTTCTCCTCATTGTTGAATTCTCAAGCTTATGAAAATCGCTCTGTAATCAGCGAGGATCAAAGCGGTTGGCCACTTGAACCTTTCACCTTGTCCTTTGCTACATCAGCACAAAGCATCCCAAACTCAATCAGTTATTGCCTAGCCACTCTGCATCGGATGTCGGAGGCAAATGTCTAACAATCACAAGCAGCGATCAGAAGAAGAGCCTGTAATTCAAACATGGCCTCTTGATTAATACTTACACTTGTGGATGCGCTCCAGAACGGATCGAACATGGCCATTAACACAATGCGCCATCCAATAGCACGATGTTGTCGCGACGGACTGTGAGTCTGAGGAGGATGACTCTTGGCAAATTGATGTGTCAGCCATGATGTAAAGATATCAAGTATGGCAGCGAGAGTCCAGATAAGGCATGCAGAATCTAGTCGTCAAGGTTGTTTTCAACGTGGTCGTTAACTGACCATATTATTGGTCAAGGACACATGAGAGACTTGATTTAAGAACAAACAGTGTTCTTCAGTTTGGTTAGACAGATCAATATTTGTTAATGATTAACCACCATGTTTGTAATACCTCTTTCAAATGCGTACTGATTTAACTGGCTAATATATATGATCGATATATACTACTTAAAATAACAAACACAAGGTTCTTTCATGTTACTGAAGCTGAAGCTGATTCTTTCATATTTTATGAGGACTGGTTATTATTTTGCACTGTCGTTTTATATACAGTTAACATGGTATGGAATAAAATAGTAATTTGAAAGAATTGGGTGTTCGCTAGAATTTTGAGTAGTATATAATTGGATATTTTTTGTTAAGAAATTAGGCTAAAACAAAAAAGCAATACCAGCGAGAAATATGGACAACCGTTGTTTTGAAAACATTGGTAAATCCTGTTATTCCAAATGAATTTAAATATCTTTAAATCACAGTAACACATTTTAACGTTTAATCACTCTATATTTACCCCTAAGACATACAATCCAACTGATAGCAATACATTACCACGAATCAAACAGGATGAGACACATGAGACTTGGTCAGAATATGGTCCGACAGAAATAATTACCGATCCCATCATTTATTTGAGAAAAATGAACTTTGGAGAGGTAACCATATTCCTATCAAAACGCTGTGATCAACTTGTGTGAGGTACAACAATTTAGAGAAGATGTATACGTCCTCACGATTGCGATAGTTGCCTGTTGTAACAAAATATACATTATACCTATGACAGAATAATACCGCAAAGCCAAACCACGTTCAGGATAGACATGCCGAAACATAACTATTATCTTTTACTGGCCTAAATGCTTGGATGAAATAACTATGAACACATCATGATCAACTACACAACTATGATCATCTATTCATAAGAGAATGACTCCAGGCCCTGGGTCATATGTTACAAGTCGTGATATCCGTAGCTCGAAACATGCCGATAATGATATTACCATAACCGTACAGTTACATCTTTGGGAAACGGGGTTCGAGACAAGGATATTATCATAACCGTAAGTTACATCTTTGGGAAACGGGGTTCGAGACAAGCAGAGTATCGGCATTATACCATGCCGATGATAAGGATATTATCATAACCGTAAGTTACATCTTTGGGAAACGGGGTTCGAGACAAGCAGAGTATCGGCATTATACCATGCCGATGATAAGGATATTATCATAACCGTAAGTTACATATTTGGCACAACGGGGTTCGAGAGAAGCAGAGTATAGATATTATACCGTACTGATGAAAAAAGATACCACCGCAACCGTACAGTTACATATTTGAGATAACGGGTTTCGGGACAAGAAGAGTATTGATATCACTTCAATACCATACAGCTGTTACCAGAACATTCCCTTACACCCGGACTCAAGATAACGAGGTCTCACTGCATGTGTGGCTCTTGGGAAGGTTAACTGTGCTCTCATTCAGTTATTCAGACTTTCATAGTCCTAACTATTCAACGACATTAACAGTTGTTCGCAGGTATATTATCACACGCTGTAGTCAAGCAATGTGTAAATTGGTATTAATGTTTGAATTAGGTTCTTCATCAGGGAAGTCCTCGACACACATGACCTCGGTCTTTTATTACTCCTGTGGAATATCACACATTCTTGAAAGTCCTTGAACAAGAGTTGATGACCACCACATCAATGTCTCAATGTTTTGGTATGACATGTGCACATAATATAAAGTGCTCATTCTGCTTTTGGATCAAAGCGCTAACAAAACAAGGTCCTACATTTCACTGTATCACACACTTTGTTTCTGCTGCTGCTGCTGCTGCTGCCGCCGCTACAATTGGCTCTGGTTTATCTGCAGTAGTTTTCTGGGTATTTGTTCTACTCTGTGCCACCAACAGATCTGTTCTAATACTGGGCCTCCTTACATTAGGTGCAACAGCCCCGCAAGCATCACTCATCTTCCTCCGAATGGACATCATCCTTCCTCCTGTTGGCGATCCACCTTGACCAACATAGGTCGGATGGACCTTCCTGTGTAAGGATGGACTCATCTCGGTGGGGAGTTTAGCTGTCTGGAAGAGTCTGAAAAACACATCATCAATGTTGATGTTCTTCTTTGCTGAGGTTTCCAGATAGTCACTGCTGTCTTGTCCCTCCAGAAGCTTGGCCACCTCTCTGGGATCAATGACCCTGTCCTTTTCCTTGTCACACTTGTTTCCCACGACCACCATGGGGATATTGAGTAGCTTCATGGCCTTCCTGGTTCTGCACTGCCTCTTGCATTCCAAGATCTGTTCCTTCAGGCGGCATACTTCCTCAAAGGACTCTCGATTGTCTATACTGTACACCAGGATGAAGAGGTCACCTAGAAAAGAAATGCATTTTAAAATGATTAGTATATATATGAGTGAGTGAGTGTGTTTAGTTTTACGCCGCACTCAGCAACATTCCAGCTATATGGCGGCGGTCTGGACCAGACAATCCAGTGATCAACAGCATGAGCATCGATCTACGCAATTAGGATATGATGGCATATGTCACCCAAGTCAGCGAGCCTGACCACCCGATCCCGTTAGTCGCCTCTTACGACAAGCATGGGTTGCTGAACACCAATTGTAACCCTGATCTTCACGGGTTGCTGAAGATCAATTGTAACCCGGATCTTCACGGGTTTGGTGTGTATGAATCTGCAATCAGGGACGGTATATTAAGTCACAAAAACACAGTGACACACAGCCATTCAAATTGTAACCTCAGGTTAACAAATGGTAGAACAACATACCAAAAATGCATTCAAGTGTATTATGCTTCATACATTCAAACCCTTACAATCGTAATTCCCTTGATACAGTTGCTATATGTCATAAGACTAAAAATGTCATATTGTTCCAACATGTTTGCATTGGGTACAATTCTTCATCTATATTCACAGAAGTCAGATTGCATATAAAGTCAATAATGGAAATTTTAATCAGTTTCTGGTCTAGAATAATATTGTACCAACGAACCCCATACGAACCTTTAAAACATAATCTAAAATATTAAAACATGTAATTAGTATCGGTGCAAAAAGCCCGTGTCACTAGTGATATATATAGTTAGTAACCATCTACTATCTGAAGGCAACCTAACTGGCATCATATTTTCTCTCCTAGACGGCAAAAACTCCATCTGATCGGAATATTCTTCTTTAGATAATACATTTGCATTACTTGTTCGATCCAGATCGTTTTCAGTTTGTATTTAACATGCAAACAATAAAAAAAACAATATATTGTTCAACTGGTTCAATTCAGTGTAAAGAACATAGTATTATTTTCTAGTTCAAAATCTACATTATTGGTAAACTGAACTATATTTACAAAAAGTGAGGCAATGTTTTCAATCAACCTCGTGAGGATTTAGAGTACATGTTGTCGAAAACATGCAAGTATGTAAGGGGAATATTCAATTATTCATACTTGAATACTAAACATCGCCGTGAGATCACAGGTTCCATCTAACCCTTCGACTTAGCATCACCAACGAAAACACGAGAACATGTTTTGGACAGCAATTTCCCTTTCATTGCTTGTCATGTAGCATACGTCATCTTGATAGGAATGAATACGGTTGCCCATCACCTTGACAAGGAAATGAACATCCCTCCCATCACGGTAAGCTATTAATGTAATTACATGTTGTCATTGGTTACAACAGGTCCGTGCCCCACAGCCAGAAAGAACAAGCCATATTGATACACTGATATTTTGCCTCAGGGACAAATTGGTTTCCATATGTATGAAATATTGCAGCCAGACCAAAGTACATGTAATTGACATGCCCCTCATAGCACTGGTGTATATTGTAAGTAATTACTCTGCTACTCATACATTAGACTGAGAGCAGGCTGTGGAAGCTTTGTTGGAACTGACAGCGTTTCCCAATGGAAGGCAAGAACACTGTTAACATTATCAATACTTGAGTTCACGTGGAGGTTAAGGGAGAATAATCTAAGGCTACTTTCCGGTATAAAGCGTGCAGGATTTCTAAAATATCAACCTCATTACTTTACTGTCTTCAAACTTGTTTACATCTACTATGAAGAGGTGGAACACTGTTTATGCATAGACAGCTTCTTTATTCATAAAAAGTGTTCCTCTTCATCTTACCAGCTTTTAAATGCCACTTAAAGAAGTTATAATAATATAATAATAATGCATATTTATATGTGCGCCCAATCCACTTCGACAGACATGCAAGTATGTACATATGTACAGAAGTACTACTAGAGCACATTAAGGTAGATACTGCTGGAAGAAGTAGGTTTGAAGTTTGGACTTGAACAAGTCGAAATTGTCAATAGTTTTGAGGTCATAAGGAAGAGAGTTCCAGAGACTAGGGGCTGCATGGGTGAAAGAACGCTGTCCAAAAGTTTTCATCTACATCTAACATTCTTGCTGTCCCCCGCCTCTTCTGTGTGTCGATAAGGCCTGACAACCTGGACTTTGTGTTCATCACAGGTACCATGAATTCAATGTGGACTTTATTATCTCTGGGGTTTCAGTTTCACACATTATCATACTTAGTCTGCGTTGTTGAAATGGAAAATACATTTGGGGATTTTTGGAAAGTAGAGTACAATGAATTAATTATTGACCTTGGGTTTGTTGTTGACGGAAACCAGAATATTATGGGTAAGATTCAATAGGCCTCTGACAATAGTTAAGTTGACATTGTGGCTATAATGACCAACACAGATAACGCACAAAGCCACCATCATGACCCAGACTTCTTCCAGCAATAGGGCGGACATGAGGGACGAGCAAACAATAACTAAGGTAATTAATCAAACAGGCTTATTTTCATCATGAAAATCCATTTCAAATTATGCTAGTTATGTACTATTTTCCTGATAAACGTGCTCGTTAGTAGCAGTAGCTATAGTTTAATGTCTATGGTCAGCCTAATGAACTAGAAGAATGGATCCATTCCTTTGTCGGTAAACCTCATTGGGACAAATTGATAGGGAAATCGTCTCAGAAGCATTGCTATTTTGAAGTGACTGTTGAGATATTCATCAGTATGTGATTGTTCGTTATAGATGTCGCACGAAACTACACAGAGACACAAAGAGAATTCTAGGGGAATTAAATAAAAACGAGATTGCATAAAATTGAAATAAACGATTTTTATGTAATCAAGTACATGTGTTTACTAGGCGTTCCTCGAAACAAACATGTAAGTGTACAGACACACAAAAACGCACACATACACAAACACAGAAGTATATTATTACCCTGTCATTATATAAGTGTCATGGTTAATATTCAGAGACATAACTATGCAAGAAGATGTCTGCCTTTTCTAACTTTCTACTTGCCATATCAAATTGCACACACCAATTAAGCAGGACATACTTATCGTACAACGGAATCTGTGCATAAATACGAACTCAGAAAAACTCTCAACAAGACTTCATGCAAATAGGGATGAATTCAACTTTCCAGTGCTCACCTTTCTTTGTATCTCAAGCAATATTCCCTTAGCTCCAGCCTTTTGTTTACATTTAACAACTTTTGAGGTACAATCGGGCATGCTCTTTCTACGGAGATTTCAACGCCCCACAGCTTCTGCTCGGACGTTTTGTGATCAAGGTTACAGCATTAAATGATCTAGTAAACTAAAAAGCTTTAAACCATTATGGTAGACACATGGATGGCATTTTCAAACTTGAATCATTAGTGACAAAATGATATCAGATACGTATCCCTATTTTGACTGATACATGTATTGTATCAACTGTTTGAGAGGCATTCTAGAAGTTGTAAGCAATAGGAATGACATGTCTTTATGGATCATCAACTTTTTTATTGAAAACGGAATGACAAGTCTTTATAGATGATCAACTTCTTTATTGTACAATGGCGACGTTTCGGTATGGATACTTATACCGTTTTCAAGCATGAGATACCGAAACATCGCCATTGTACAATAAAGAAGTTGATCATCCATAAAGACATGTCATTCCTATGTATTGTATGTTTTCCATGTTTTATATGAAATGTTTTTCAGGTTTTAAAGTCAATGTATTTGCAATGGGGTTATAGTTTGAGCTGGATATGCTCACCATTTTACATAAAATGATATCCGATACTTTCCCCTATTTTGACTTATATTATACGTTTTCCATGTTTTATATGAAATTGGCTTGCCTTTGCATGTATTTGCAAGGGGTCACAGTTGGAGCTGGATATGCCACCTTTTCGCGAACAGGTCACTATTTGATAGTGATTCCTAAACAAATCAAGATATAGTCGGAATCTCACAGTCGAGACTCTGATTTTCATAGATTCCTTACGAATATATTTCCTAAAAAGCATATTCACTGAATACGTCTAATAGAATGAAAGTGTGACCTCGTGTCCTAGAAAGGGTATTCTTAACGGATACTTTTACCTGCGCGACGTTTCGTTTTTTCATATTGAATTCTTTTCTCATTAAATGTCATTCTAACGTTTCCATGGCAGCGAGAAAAAACCGAAAATTGCAAAGTGTTGTTTATTTGAGAAGTGAGGTTGAGTAGGCAGCTTCACGAAGGTTTCCTGTCGTATGGAGACAGCCGTCGCTTGTGATCTACCTTATTGGAATAACAAACAACAACCAACTCCTACGAACATTTTCCTGACAGTTCCTGATAACGGAAGAGTTCAGTCGTTATCTCTTTGACGCTACGTCGACGTCGGTGAACACTCCATTACATCTACATCAACAAAAATATAGGATCAGTGACTGTCATAAATGTCACTCAATATACAAGTATTTGCATACAATTTATATTCAGTTCTTGACACAGTCGTATTGCTTCTTAAAGAAACAAATTCATGTAGTTAAGTTACATTTTACAATATAACATTGCTAACCTCTACTAGCTGAATTGTTTGGATGGGCGTAGAAGCAATGTCCTTCACGATGTCATTCTCTGGATCTTATATACAACCACGTGGGAAGTGCTAGGCACGAACATCGTGCAGATAAGCACCTTGTAACCATGATTAAAGGATGGATAGGATTTAGTGGCACCTCACCAGATATGTTTTATCTCAGACCACGCACGGTCATCAATACAATAATGAACACAATGTTGAAATCTAGGTGTCCAGAGGTATTTATGTGAGTCATGGAGACTGCAATTATCTGTCATTTGTGTAGGTGCTTGGGAAACTATGGCTTCCCTCTAATCAAAATCAGACGCAGTGATCAAGGGTGGACATATCATTTCGTGTTGTTTGGACACAGCAAATAAAGGACACGATGATTTGTATTGCACTTTATGACGAAACTGTGTCACTCAGAAATTTGCGGATAGTTATCGATTGCAACGTT